TGACAGGACACGACTTCACCCCAGCCCCCCCCGCCCCCCAAACCCATCACAGCACTCAGGGCTGGGGAGATTGATTAAATGTTTCAGGCTGTGCTTCCTCTCCTGTCCACCAGGCATGCTATAGATTGAGTCCTGAAGTTCAAGGGACAAATGTCCCTCAGGACAGATTCTTTTATGATATGATATTTGTCATGTCAGTAACAAATTTAAAATAAACAAAGCAACACCAAAAAATGACGACAGACATCACCAATCAGAACAGTAGCATGTGACCCACCCCAAGACGGGGACTATATTCAATATCCTCCTCATCCCTGGCCAGCAGGTGGTGCTAAGCATGCATTTGAAATCCCCCGTTGAACTGTCAGTCTGTAAATGTGACAGATTACTGGTTCATGTCAAAGGTCAGTGACTGAGTGGTCAACGTCTGATCTGTCCATTAGAGAAGGAACACACTCCTCCTAGGCTAGGCTAGGCTAGGCTAAGCTAAGCTAACCCTTCTTTGTACTGGAATATGAACCAATAAAAAGGTGTCGTTCTTCCTGTTCTCCACCAGTGCACCACCTGTGGCAAGCGTTTCCGTCAGTTGCCTCACCTGCAGGACCACGAGCGGATCCACTCAGGTCTGCGGCCGTTCTGTTGCTGGATATGTGGAAAGAGTTTCAGCGTGGCCGCCCGTCTCACCGAGCACGCACGCACCCACAGTGGAGAGAAGCCCTACCCCTGCGCCCACTGCAGCGCCGCCTTCCGTTCTCGCTCAAACCTGGACAAACACCTGCGCCTCCACGGAGACATGCCTATGGAGACTGCCGAGCAGGTGGCGCAGGCGGCCGAGGTCGCTCAGGTCCAGAAGGTGTTGGAGGGGGCCAAGGTGCTGTCGTCTCTGGCCGCCACGGGGGAGGTGGACGCCGGCACCGTGCAGACCATCTATGTGCTGCAGGGCGGAGAAGGAGGCACCGAGACGGTGATGATTCCGTCCGATCAGCTCGCCGGCATCGAGGGAGCGTCGCAAGTCGTCATCCTGCCGTCTTCGGTTTTGGGCAGTCAGGCCATCGCAGTTCCTGGTATCACCATGGACGGGAATGAGATCACCATGGTGGAGACGGACCAGTCGCCGCAGCACACCATCGAGTTCATCGTAGAGGAAACGGTCTGAAGGTGAAGAAGAGAGGAACTAGAACCGTTGAACTATAGTAGAAATTAGTCTGGAGTCGGTTGTTAATATTGGACGGAGACACGCGGCGGCGGCGGCGTCTCCGTTAGCTAACGTCCCTGTGAAGTGACATCTGACCTTTTAGTTTGTTTTTGCTGTTGAATTGATTTCCTTCAGCTCTGGGTCTGAAGTGCAGACTCTTGTATAGAGCCAGTGGTCAGGGGGGTGTGGGGG